CAGTTTCTTTAGCTCACCGTTTTTAGTTTTAGAGCGGCTGAGTACACGGAGTTTTGTTTTATTGTGAAGAACCGGAAAATGATGGGATGTGCCATCAGAGACTTGTTAATGCTCTCCAGCAGGTAACAAATGGAATCCTCTCAGTGTGACGTTGGGACGCTGGATTACACGAACCAAGTGTTGTTGACTATAACAGATTATTATGACCAAACACCAGCAAAGATAAGAGTGAATTTATGCTTTTGACTTCATGACATTAGCTTTGTTTAGTTTTGCTGCTGCTGTCCTTGCGTTTGGCAGGTAGAGTATTGGTACTTACCCTGTTGTCGTTTTGCGGGACCTTCGTCATCACCCTCTCCTATTCCGCCTTTCCCGGGATCCACCAATTTTCCTCTCTTGAATTAGTTTTCTTTCTCCCTTCCCTTAAATTTTTAATCCCAGTTTATTTTTTGTCATTTTAAACATATTTTTCAATCATTTATTGTTCAAAATTCTGTTCATATTTAACATTTTTAGTTTTTGTGAAGCGCCTCGTGGTTTTTACCTTTAGAGGCACTATATAAAATATTGTTTTCTTTCGTTTGTGAAGAGGAGCGTCTGGGCTCTGGGCTGCTTCTGTGGATAGGATCATGTTGCATCGTTTCTACTGTTTTTCCCAGTATGTGTGTTTAGCTTTATTCAGCCTTTATATTTAGCTTATTTTTGTAGTAGAAATCGTGGATTCTCTCAGAAGAATGGTAATTTGGTGTACCCTGGTGGTGATATGAGGCTAGAGCATCTAACAGGTAGACAGCAGAAATGGCCCCACCCAAAGAATAAATCACCAGCTGCCACTGGCCAGTAGTGCAGACTAGCCACACCACTGACTAGCCGTTAGCTCATCCGCTAGTGTTAGGAGCTTTCTTCTGTAAGTTTTGCTCCTGACGTGTGTGAAGACAGTTTTTCTGATTAATCTGGATTACACCACCATTAAGCTCTGAATGGGATTCTCCAGGTTACATTAGACCGGACCATTGAAACCAGCTCAGACGCTAAACCACTGAATCATCACACGTTTCCTGATGTTTATGTTTTTAGCAGAAGCTTTTGTCCAAAGCGACTGACGAGTGAAAATGAAGCAGCAGGTAGCCCTTGAGGCAACCAGATCCCAGGAATTCTGATTTGGTTACAGCTTACATCACTAAACTTAATCTCTGCCTGTAATCTGGACAATATTCCAGATTTAAAGTCCGTCCCTTTTCCAGTCTCGGCTGGACTGTTTGGGATTACGGATCCGTCCGTTATCATCAAAGCCTCATGGCTGCTTGGCTTCATGGTCTGGAGATTAAATCTTCAAATAAGAAAAAATAGCCATAAATTTGACCTTTAACTGAGCTGCTTTCACTCGAGAGGTCATACGTCACAGAATAAAAGTCCCAGAACGTCTTCGCATGAACAGAAAACCTTGTTTTGATTACAGCAGCTCATTTATCATTTCTAATAATCAGAGATGTAAAATATGAACTTAAACAATGTTTTTATAACTGAGTAAATAATATCCACTTTAGATGCATCTTGGACATTTAGTTAGTGATTCACATTAAACAAAAATATATGATCTACATATTTTGATGAGTGAATCCAGTAAAATCCGGTTTAACTTCCAGAGTCTGCGTTCCGCGGGTCAGCAGCAAGAGCTTGACGCAGAGCGGGACGGCTCGGACTCTGCCGGGCTAACGGCTGTGATGGATCCGTTCTGCTGCTCGGAGCTCGGAGCTCATGCAACAAAGCAGGATGACTTTGCCAATCTGCACGTTAGGCAGTCCTGACATGCCTCGTCCAGCTGTTACAACATCTGACCTTGGACATCGGCAGCATTCAGATTCAGCCAGATCCAGATGAAAAATTCCCTCAGAGGAAATCCTCCAAATGCTTTTTAGCTGTTTGTTTGTTAGCTAAACACCTCCTGAACATCTGGATGTCCACATGCACCTGATCACCTGAGTCAAGATGGCCGCTGATGCTAGTCACCATTCCCAGAGGGTGTTTGATGGTCTGGAAGAAGCTAAATTGGTAGTGAAGTTTTTTGTTTAAGGCGATTATCAAAATTTGAACTCATTATTTCCGCCTTAAACCAGTCATCCATGTTGCCTCTCAGCTGGTTTACTCAGAACCAGTCTGACCTCCATCGATCTACAGCTGATCCAGAATGTTTTAGCTTCAGATCGTTTAATTCGGTTCATTATTAATTAATTAATTAATTAATTGATTAATTAAATTATTTATTTATTTATTTATTTTCTGATCTGTTTACAGCTTGTTTGCTTCATCTAGATATTCCATGTCCTCCACTGAGATCAGCAGCGCACACACACGCATGCACGCACACACACACACACACGCACGCACACACACACACACACACGCACGCACGCACGCACGCACACACACACACACACACACACACACACACACACACACACAAACACACACACACACACACACACACACACACACACTCCTCTGCTGCACTCTTTAATCGATCACATTCTGGTAAGCAGCAGATGAAGTCACAACAGCTTCACTCTTGAGTGAAAAATTTTCATGAATGACGCGTGTGTGTGTGTGTGTGTGTGTGTGTGTGTGTGTGAGTGTGTGTGTGTGTGTGTGTGTGTGTGTGTGTATGTGTGTGTGTGTGTGTGTGTGTGTGTGTGTGTGTGTGTGTGTGTGTGTGTATGTGTGTGTGTGTGTGTGTGTGTGTGTGTGTGTGTGTATGTGTGTGTGTGTGTGTGTATGTGTGTGTGTGTGTGTGTGTGTGTATGTGTGTGTGTGTGTATGTGTGTGTGTGTGTGTGTGTGTGTGTGTGTGTGTGTGTGTGTGTGTTTGTGTGTGTGTGTGTGTGTGTGTGTGTGTGTGTGTGTGTGTTTGTGTGTGTGTGTGTGTGTGTGTGTGTGTGTGTTTGTGTGTGTGTGTGTGTGTGTTTGTGTGTGTGTGTGTGTGTGTGTGTGTGTGTGTGTTTGTGTGTGTGTGTGTGTGTGTGTGTGTGTGTTTGTGTGTGTGTGTGTGTGTGTGTGTGTGTGTGTGTGTTTGTGTGTGTGTGTGTGTGTGTGTGTGTGTGTGTGTGTGTGTGTTTGTGTGTGTGTGTGTGTGTGTGTGTGTCTCTGTGTGTGTGTGTGTGTGTGTGTGTGTGTGTGTGTGTGTGTGTGTGTGTGTGTGTGTGTGTGTGTGTGTGTGTGTGTGTGTGTGTGTGTGTGTGTGTGTGTGTGTGTGTGTGTGTTTGTGTGTGTGTGTGTGTGTGTGTGTGTGTGTGTGTGTGTGTGTGTGTGTTTGTGTGTGTGTGTGTGTGTGTGTGTGTGTGTGTGTTTGTGTGTGCAGATAACTCAGTAAAATAATTCCTGTATAAAATATAAATTCTCATATGAGTTCAGCTAATTTCAGCCCCAAAACAACAAAAGTCCTCCTCAGACATCCCCACCAGCTCCTGCCTCCTCCTCCTCCTGAGTGACAACGAGAGTGATGAAGAGGAGGAGAAGAGCATAAACAAAGAGTCTGAAATCAACAGAAGCAGCAGGATCCTCACAATTAAAATCACAGAGACGATGACGGCTGAGAGGAGAAACGAAACAAACCAGAAGCTACAAATCAGCAGCTCGTTCAATCAGTCGGCGGCTTGGCCTCCTCAGAACATCGAGATTCTTCATCATCAGCCTGGAAACAATGCCGCCGGCATGCAGATGGAGCTTCAGATTGATCAGGATGGAGCTGAAGATCTTTACATTAAACCAGTTACAGATTCATCTTGGTGATGACCGAATGAAAAACCATTTCATCTTAAAGTTTTCTGCGTGAGGAGCTCGGACCCAGAAGAAGCCCAGAGAGGCCCACATCCTGCAGAACCCTGCAGAACTTCATCTAAGAGAAGAGGAGGTCTCTGGTGAAGTTTCTGTTTCAGGCCACGAGGACGAGTGAGGACACAGACCTGAGGCAGCAGGCTGGACATCCTCTCAGAGCATCAGAAGACAAGCGTCTCGTGTCCTCCTGAACAGGACGAGACTTTCAGAGGTTCTTTAAAATCCTCCCCATCCTCCAGAGGGCAGGGGGTCCGAGCCACCGGCTTGTGCTGCTTTAAATTTAGCAGCAAGACGAGGAAAGAGCAGCGAAATCAGCAGGGAGGAGAGCAGGTTGACCTTTGACCTGAGCTCCGTTAATAGACGACTGCAGCGACATTGGCAAAGTCAGGAAGGAGGCTGCAGAAGGTCTTTCTGCACCAAGGACTCAGGACGGGACCGCCACTTCCTGCCAAACGTTGCGAGACAAAAGGAACATAAAGATCGCGTCTGATCCCAGAAGAGACGTCCGTATTCGGTCTTCATCCGGCTGGCTCACGTGGACACTTAAGTCCCAAAGCTCCTAAACCCTTAAAAACAGATCATCAGTCCCTAAATCCAAATAAACAATCATCAGACTCGTCCCGCAAAAATCATGCAAAATGGTTTTCTTGGTGTGGTGGTGAGAGGGTGAATTATGAATTTTTACTGATGATGTTTACAATTTACAAGAATCGGTATCTACTCTCAAACCCAGAATCGGTTGGATTAGGGGAACACCTTCCCACCTTTCTGGGTCAGGCGGAGCGCTGGAGGGGGACGTGAAACATTTTCTTGTCCTAATTTAGTCACATGACTTCTGAATTTATTCACCATTTCATCCCCAGCTCCTCCCAAGCTTTCCCAGTCCGTGACCAGCAGCTGAGAGCTACTGGATCTGAAACAATAAAACTTGAGTTGGTTTTCTGTTAGAAACCAAAACTCACGTCACCTGTTAATGGTCAGTTAACGACGTTGCCGTGGAAACCGTATGGAGTAAAGCGGAGGAGAAAACACACAGGAAGCGGTGAGAAGAGGTGGGAATGAAAGCTGCAGGCTGTGACCGGAACACCTCGTCCTGCTGCAGGAATCACATGACCAAACAGCAGGAGGAGGACTCCGGCGTCCTCCCATGTCACCTAGTCCTGGTCCTACCTGGAGCGGTGCAGTTCTTCGGCTCTTCGTCCATCTCTGCTGCCTCCAGGCTGCTGTTGTCCATCTCCTGCAGAAGCCTCCTTCCTGCATGTCTCTCCTGACCCGGGATGGACACGTCGAGCCCTGGGAGAGGGTTGTCACAGAGAAAGATGGTTATTCCATCTGGAGCCAGACTTTACACACAAACTTATCAGGATTCTGAGTCGGATTCATGATTCCAGAGAACCATAACCCCATCTAAAATGACACAGTGTGGATGTGAAGAACATGTAGGGTCAGAACCAGAGCTGACATCTGTCCAGGTAACGTTATCATGACGGTGTCGCTGCAGAGCTGCAACATGGTTGGATGTTTTTATTACAGGAGAACATAAACATCTGGGATTCAGAAGAACTCCACCCTGGAGAAGAATCAACCCCTGGACCAGTCTGAACCTAGATCTGCTCCGATGTCAGAGTTATGAGATGCTGCTCTCCTCCTCATCGTCATCGAGAGTAAAGCTGAGGCTTTTGTTCATCAACTTTATGAATAAATCCTTCATCTCCATCTGCAGCTGGAGGAACCAGCGACTCGTTTTCAGTCTCCGAGCAATAGAAGCAAAGCTGGACCAGATCCTGTAGCGTCTTTTACCGGACGCCGAACCAGTGCCTCGTGGAAAACCACAACTAGGAGAAGATCCTGTCTAAAATCAGACCTCCAGACACTTTCTCACCAGCGCCTGCTCACGGTTCTTTAGTTAAACTCATGAAGATCTTCAGAGGGAATGCTGCCTTGCAGGAATTTAGATCCCTAAACAGCTGTCAGCTGGAATTTTTGAATATTTCTGCATAAACTTTATAAAAGATAATGAAAACAACAACAACTATGCAGCAAGCCTGAGCTGGGATCTGAACTGGACCGTACGTAGAAACGAGGTAACGAACATCTGGGCCAGCTTCCCAGACGTGTGGATTGGATGTTTGCACCCCCACCTCCAGATTTCATCCATTCAAGTGGAATTTCATGATTTTCCAAAACAAAAGAGGGGAGTGGAGCAGCAGCAGCCCACCTCGTGGAGCTCCCACTGCGGCTGCATCTGCACGCTCCTTCAGAAAGCAGCAGGATTCATTTCATCCTTCATGGAGCGCAGTGGGAGCGCTGCCGCTCCCAACCGGACAACCACAGGTCTGGACATGAACTTCAGCTGGAATAAAAAGTTACTGAGTTCCTCAGGTGTGTGAACCTCTCACCTGCCTGACCTCCGCCCTACAACAGCAGCCAGGAAGGCGGCTCCTCCTTCCTCCTCACCATGGAAGAAATGAACGATGAGGAGGAGGAGGAGGACAACTCCTGGTAAAGAACCCGATCACTAATGATGACTGAAATCCCAACAGGCCGATTTAAACTCAAACATGGTGACTTGATGCATCATCAGATCTCCTGAAGACCAAAGCGGATCGTCTCCTCCGACTCCGGCTATGGTTGACTCCATGAAAGAGGATCTGAAGATACAAACATGCAAATAAAGCCCCCTGGGAGGGTGCTGTTGCTGTTGCTGTTGTGTGCGTGTGTGTATGTGTGTGTGTGTGTGTGTGTGTGTGTGGGGGGGGGGGGGGGGGGGGGGGGGGCAGGAGACTGCAGGACGGAGTGTCCCGGATTCTGGCTCTGCAGGTAAAACCACCTGAAACAAGAAGCCGCTTCAGTTGTGTTTAATAATAACATTCATGTGTTCATCTGGTGAACTAATGAATCATGTTGGATCTCAGATTCTGGGTTCTTGTAAAAAAAAGTCAACTTGGGTTTCTTTTCAGCGACTCTTGTCTCCAAATCAAGACTATTTAGAGTTTCATAAAACTATTATAATATTTATTATTGTTGTTTGCTTTCTTTTTTTTTTAGAGACGAAATCACAAACTCGGTTATCCAGAGAGCCGCTGAGCGCGTGAGCGTCCGTGACTTACCTGAATCTTCTGTTAGGAATGAAATCCCCTTGACGACCAGCAGCAACCCTCCGAACAGGCAGATCTGGATCAGAACCAACTCCTTTCTCCGTTTCCGCCTCGCTCTGACCCTCCTCCGGTCCGGCATCACTTGATTCCGGTACCGGATACCCGAAGAGGCTGACACATCCATCCCGGAGCCCTCCCCCCCGAGTCCCGCCTCCACTCCACCAGAACCTGGAGAGTCGACCTCTTGCAAGTCCCGGGAAGCGGGTTTATCCCTCCAAAGTGCGGAGGAGTGGGAGGAGGGGGTGGGGGGGTGAAAAGTTCCGAACCGGTACCGCGGAGATGCTGCGGCGTAAAATGGCGCAAACTGATCTTCGGCTCTCAGCGTCAGGGCGCCGGTTTGTGCTCCGGTGTCATGCTGAGAGTTGGGTTCGGTCTCGGTTCTGCAGGATCTCCATGAGGATGAGTCTCTGAGCTGAGGAGCGGTGGAGAGGGAGCGCGAGACGCGGGGCGCACGCGCACCGAGAAACACGCAGAAATCCCCTCCGGTGGAAAAATCAACTTTTTATTTCATGTTTGTTTTAAGCTTGGAGGAAACTTCCTTCTGTTTGATGTTTTTATCAAAAACTATTTTAATTCCACAAAAACGTAACATTCTAGTCCACCTGATTATGTTGCCATGGTAACCGTCTACCTACACCTTGTCTTCATTGGGAAATAGAGAGACTTGCGTTTCTGCCTTTGAAGCTTAAATATGAAATAATATTTCTAACAAATAAGATGATAACCGGATATTTCTGAAATAATTATTGTTTAATGTTAAAAAATAAAAAATAATATAATTTTATAAAGAAAAAAGACAGACTGGAGACTAACTTATTCCCTAAAATCTCAAGACAAGAAAATAACTTGTTCCCTCAGGAATAATCATTTGTACCTTAAAGACTCATGACCACAGGATGACTTGTTCCCTAAAGACTCGAGACTAGAGGATGACTTGTTCTATGAAGACTCGAGACTAGAGGATGACTTGTTCCCTAAAGACTCGAGACTAGAGGATGACTTGTTCTATGAAGACTCGAGACTAGAGGATGACTTGTTCCCTAAAGACTCGAGACTAGAGGATGACTTGTTCTATGAAGACTCGAGACTAGAGGATGACTTGTTCTATGAAGACTCGAGACTAGAGGATGACTTGTTCTATGAAGACTCGAGACTAGAGGATGACTTGTTCTATGAAGACTCGAGACTAGAGGATGACTTGTTCCCTAAAGACTCGAGACTAGAGGATGACTTGTTCTATGAAGACTCGAGACTAGAGGATGACTTGTTCCCTAAAGACTCGAGACTAGAGGATGACTTGTTCTATGAAGACTCGAGACTAGAGGATGACTTGTTCCCTAAAGACTCGAGACTAGAGGATGACTTGTTCTATGAAGACTCGAGACTAGAGGATGACTTGTTCTATGAAGACTCGAGACTAGAGGATGACTTGTTCTATGAAGACTCGAGACTAGAGGATGACTTGTTCTATGAAGACTCGAGACTAGAGGATGACTTGTTCTATGAAGACTCGAGACTAGAGGATGACTTGTTCTATGAAGACTCGAGACTAGAGGATGACTTGTTCTATGAAGACTCGAGACTAGAGGATGACTTGTTCCCTAAAGACTCGAGACTAGAGGATGACTTGTTCTATGAAGACTCGAGACTAGAGGATGACTTGTTCTATGAAGACTCGAGACTAGAGGATGACTTGTTCTATGAAGACTCGAGACTAGAGGATGACTTGTTCTATGAAGACTCGAGACTAGAGGATGACTTGTTCTATGAAGACTCGAGACTATAAATGCCGTGTTCTCTGAAGACATGGAGAAATAATTATTTTCCCTCAAGGTTCAAGACTACAGGATGACTTGTCCTCTAAAGACTCGAGACTAACTTGTCCTCTAAAGACTCGAGACTAGAGGACATGTCCGCTGTCCCTGAGGACTGCTCCTCATGTCTGCAGCGGCTCTTGTTTGATTTTCATGTTTTTATTCTCGCGGACGGGTTTCTGGGATGCGTTCCGTGGAGCCTGGCAGCCATTATTCCCTGGTGGTTCCGACAGGAACGGACGAGGAATACAAATAAACTGACCCAGTTCTGAGGAACGGTGCCGTGAAAACTTTTACCTGCAGCGGTGGAACCGAACCCGCTCGGGATTGGATAACTCCGGATTGTTTGGGAATAAACTAAACAATATCTGGATTTAAAACGGGAACCACTGGGAGTTCTGAGTGAGGTTCTGTTGGGTTTTACCCCATGGGTTCCTCCTGATCACTCCTAAACTCTTGTTTGGGTTTTCAGGTGAAACGGAACCAGAAATTCCAGCATTCACATCAAACTTGAACACGATCCCAAAGTTCTCCCTTCTGGATCGGATCCTGACCCGGTCCGCTGACTCTAAGAGCTTACTGCCACCGTTCTCTTTTAGGCAGGAGTCCGAACGGCCCAGAACCTTTTCCATGGTTCTTTTGCCCTTAAAGACACAGAACCCTGATCCAGATCCCCTTAACATTTTGGACCTGGTTCTGATCCGCCTGGATGCTCCTTTCCCCTCTTACACTCCAATGGAGATCTGGAATTCTGATCCATCTGACCACATTCCCACTCCGGCTCTGATCCATCTCAGAATCTGTACCAGAGCTGGGCCGGGTCGGCATCAGGAGGTCTCGGTTCTGGAGCCTGATGAAGTTTTGGAAATGCCGGTCCGGGTGGTTCTGGAAGTGCCGTCTCAGGAGGCACCCTTCAGTCAGTGGGATGACTTCCTAACCAAGTGGCCATTCCTCTCAGAACCACAGTCTGGACCCAGAAGATTCTTTTTCTATTAGGATCCATTAATTAGACACGTCCCGACTGTTAATGACATCATTTCCTGTTCCTTCTCATCATTCGGCTGTATTTGGTTTTTTATTCATTTTAAAACTTTGAAAAAAGTAAAACATTTAAAAACCGACAACATCCGATTCCAAACGACAGATCCGAACCCGTTTCTGCGTCTCCTCGGTTCCGAACCCATAACTAACTGGGACTGGTCTGGTTCCAGAACCACTTGGTCTCTCTGAGGCTTTGTTTAGTCTAGAACCCAAATCTAAGATCCTCTGGAATGGTCCAGCCTGGAGCTTTCACACAAACAACCCTGGAAAGTTTCCAGTAAGGACGGAAAAAGTGGTCGGAGCGGGAGGAAACAAGGAATTCTTCAAGTATCAGAATATTTATGAGTTGTGTGACAAACATGAAGGAAGCTGCTAAGAACGGCCTTAACGCTGCCGTGGAGGGGGTGCGGAGGGGGCATGGAGTTAATAAAGAATTCCCAACTTCCCAGACACACAGAAACAAAGTTGGGGCTGGAGGGGGAGGGGAACAAATTAAACCCAGTGAAATTGTTTTTCCATAGCCAGTGGGCCTGGCATCAGCCTCTCCCAAACACACGGGATGTACGATACGTTTCAGAGGACGAAGCAGGACGAGTGCAGCTTGGTGGAAGAAAATGTCTGGAATTTAACCCACTTTCTGGAGTCGGAGCAGCTCGGAACGCTGCTGCAGCTCAGATGTGATGCTGGTGTGAAACAATTCTGTCCCACTTCGCGTCCACAGCCACCCCAGGCTTGGCTGATTGCAGCATTCCGAGATGTTTGAAGCATCAATAATCCCGTCTGGATGCAGTCGCTGCAGCTCCAGCCTCATTTAAGGCCGCTCGCTCCGACAGATCTGGGTCGTTGTCTTCTCGATCCGAGAGCTTCCAGGTCCAAGCGGCTCCTCTCCCTCTCCTGCTGCTGCTCTTCACCCCAGCCAGGAGAAACCTCGCCTCAGCACCACGGGGGGGATGGGGGACATGGGATGGATGGCCAGGAATAGCTTCCTGAACTAAAAAAGAAAGGAACTAATGTTAAGCTTGTACAGGACGGCCAGGTGCCGGCGTTCCAAGCAGAAATAAGGACATGGATTCCTGCTTCTGCGTCACAAACAGGAGAGAAACACAGGAACAACTGCCAAAGTTTTACTGACGTCTTTGTAAAATAGAAACAAAAAGTACATTCAGATCCGTGAAACGACACAACAGGAACGCCTCGGGATGAGAACAATAAATAAGCAGGATTTAAATTCCTCTTCAGGTCTGATTTCCTCCCGTTAGAGACGTGAAATCATTCAGAGACGTTTCAAACCCACCGGTCTCCTCCGCCTCCGTCCTCTTCTCTGTCCATGAATAGTGTGTGTGTGTGTGTGTGTGTGTGTGTGTGTGTGTGCGTGCGTGCGTGTGTGCGTGTGAGTGTGTGTGTGAGTGTGTGTGTGTGTGTGTGTGTGTGCGTGCGTGCGTGCGTGTGTGTGTGTGTGTGTGCGTGCGTGCGTGCGTGTGTGTGTGTGTGTGTGTGTGTGTGTGCGTGCGTGCGTGCGTGTGTGTGTGTGTGCGTGCGTGCGTGTGCGTGTGTGCGTGTGTGTGAGTGTGTGTGTGTGTGTGTGTGTGTGTGCGTGCGTGTGTGTGTGTGTGCATGCGTGCGCGTGCGTGCGTGTGTGTGTGTGTGTGTGTGTGTGTGTGTGTGTGTGTGCGTGTGTGTGTGTGCGTGCGTGTGTGTGTGCGTGCGTGTGTGTGTGTCCATGAATAGTGTGTGTGCGTGCGTGTGTGTGTGTGTGTGTGTGTGTGTGTGCGTGTGTGTGCGTGCGTGTGTGTGTGCGTGCGTGCGTGTGTGTGTGTCCATGAATAGTGTGTGTGCGTGCGTGCGTGCGTGCGCGTGCGTGTGTGTGTGTGTGTGTGTGTGTGTGTGTGCTAGAACGGCGGGGGGGGGCATTAAGCGAGGGGGGCTAATGGGCTGTTAAAGCTGTGCGTCTAACTCCCCCTCCCTCTGAGGGACACAACTGTTCCAGTCTGACCCTGAAACCATCAGATGGTTTAGGTGCGGAGGCGGAGTCACACGCAGGCGTCTGGAGACGAGTTTAGCTTCAGCGAAACTATGAGAAGAACCCCCAAACGGAGGTAGAGGAGCAGAAAAGAAAAGAAAAGGATGGAGCAGCTGGGCCCGCTCGGACCGTGCTGCTTAGGTCGGAGGTTTCTGTCCAGGTGCATTCTGGGAAGAGACGCAGGTGAGGAGCTGCTGATCCTGAGACAGGAAGTCCATGAGAAGCTATAAGAGTCCTCCGTCAGAAAACCCCACTCACGCTCAAGTCCTCCGTCCAACATCTGTGAGAAAACAAAAGGATTCTGATCAGTCACCATAGCAACCAGGAGGAAGTGGTAGAGCGTTAATTACACGTATTTAAAAACAAACAGAAAAAGTTTCCATCGGTGAGGCCCTGTCTGGGTTCGGGTTATCCTGGCTCACCCCTTTAGTTATGGGAGGCGGTCATACTCAGGTGCCGTGAAGCAACATGAAATCAGACCGAAACCGCTGCAGCAGATAACCGAACGGAGCACAGACAAGCTGCAGCGATGACACATCCAGGGACGAACAGAGGAGGAGGAGTTATGGGCAACAAAGGAAGTCCTAGAGATAGCAGCTCGGGTCAAAGTTAAGGTCGACCCTAACCCCAACCCGAACCTGTTGAGTTTATTTTAGACGCTTCACTGAGGAACCAGAGCAGCAAACGCCTTTCAGTGAGTCGCTTCTACCAGCATCAGGATGCTGATGCAGAAGTAGAGCCGGCGGGGGCAGAGATCAGGACACAAGCTCTCCTCTACACCACAGACCCACGTCCCACACGTCCTCCTGCAGGAGGCCCAAACCCGCGGAACCGCACCAGACACGCGTTTCATATTCATGCTCTACTATTGACACATAACATTTCATATTCTTCATCAGACATTTCCAGTTCTAAAGGTCACGACCCCAAACAGGTCACGACCCCAAACAGCTCACGACAAATGTAGACCACAGCAAAAAACATAGTCTGGAGGGCTAAGCCCAACCAGCCATTCCTCCCCATCCCCGCATATTTCTCTCCTCCTGCTCCCTCACATCATCACACAAACATACACATAGGACCTTGGGGGTGGGGAAGTCAGGGAGTGTGGGTATGGATCCCATTTCTGCATTCCTGTGACAACCTGCCCCCCAATTTTATTTGCACCTTATACACTTCCACCGACGACATTCCACACAAACACACACTTAGGGCCTTGGGAGTGAGCACATTCAACGGCATTTGGCAGGGGGATATTTCAGCCTCCTCCCGAGTGCCGGTGCCCACTTCCAATTTTAAACTGCACTTAGACACTGATGGCTGAGGGTGTAAGTGGGGTGGTGCGGTGGCATCAGCTGGCATATGCCGGATGATGCCCGCACTGCCCGCTCACCACAGCCATGGAATACACCTCATGATCACACAAACACTATATTGGAGCAGGCGGAGGGAGACTAGGGGTTTTAGCCACCTCTGTTGTTGCTAGGCATCCTGGGGCTGGAGGCTAGGAGGGAGATCTGGCCGTCTGGTTGGGGTCTGGGTGGTGGGTTGCTGTGCTCGGCGTTGGGCGGGGGAGCCTGCTCATCAGCACCCCAGCAGAAAGGGTCAAACTCTGGTTACCGGTGATGGTTGTACCCAGTGTGCAGCAGTACCGGGACCAGAGTAAATAGGGTGTGTATGGGGAGCATGAGTGGGTGTCGGGCGTGCATTTTTGTACGTCTTGGGTTGTATGTGCATGTGTGAGCATGAGGGAGGGAGTGTGTGACTGTGTTTGTGTATGACTGTATATGTCAGGTGGGGCCTTTGGGTTCTCCCCTCTCCTGGAACTTCTCTTGATGATATAGATCTTTGTCCCCCCTCCCCCTGCCACACCTGGTGTGGGGGCTTGTGCCAGGGTCTGCCTGAGTGTTCGTGGCAACCGGGTCTGGGGGTTTAAGATTTTGGCGTCTGCCTGATAGATCCCGGTGGCTGCCTGGTGGGGTCTGGGTCCCTGGGCTCTGCTGGGTCCCCGGCGGGGCTGGTCGCCCCTGGGTCCCGGGTCGCTGGGTCCCGGGCTCGGCCGGCTAGGGGGTGGGAGGCTGCGGGCGGGCCTGTGGGCTTGCCGCTGATGTCTCCCGGGACTCTGCTGGTTGTGGCCCCCCGGGGCGATCCTCTGTGCCTCTCGAGGGGGGGCGGGGGCCTTCCTGGTTGCAGTCTCCTTGGGGTTCCTGCGTTCCGGGGCAGCGCCTGGATCTCTGGGACTTGGAGCTCCCCCGTCTCCTACACATCTTTGGGGGGCGGATCTGTGGTCCCTCACACTCTCTGTTGGGCGCTCCTATAGAGAAACCTTACATAAACAAGCGCGTGTACACACACAGGTGCTCACATGGTGCTCTCATAAGAATGGGTTTGGGCACGTTAAACACAGGTCTTAAGGCTGTGGTTGGCACTAAATGCATTGTGATTTATTATCGTGATTCTTCAGTTAAGCAATGTTGATTGTATATACAGGTGCTGGCCAGTAAATTAGAATATCATCAAAAGGTTGAAAATATTTCAGTAATTCCATTCAAAACGTGAAACTTGTACATTATATTCATGCAATGCACACAGACCAATGTATTTCCGATGTTTATTACGTTTAATTTTGATATTCATAAGTGACAACTAATGAAAACTCCAAATTTGGTATCTCAAAAATTAGAATATTCTGAAAAGGCTGAATATAGAAGACACCTGCTGCCACTCTAATCAGCTGATTTACTCAAAACACCTGCAAAGGCCTTTAAAAGGTCCCTCAGTCTTGTTTTGAAGGCACCACAATCATGGGGAAGACTTCTGACTTAACAGCTGTCCAAAAGACAATCATTGACACCTTGCACAAGGAGGGCAAGACACAAAAGGTGATTGCTAAAGAAGCTGGCTGTTCGCAGAGCTCTGTGTCCAAGCACATTAACAGACAGGCGAAGGGACGGAAAAAATGTGGTAGAAAAAAGTGTACAAGCTCTAGGGATAACCGCACCCTGCAGAGAATTGTGACGACAAACCCATTCAAAAATGTGGGGGAGATCCACAAAGAGTGGACTGCAGCTGGAGTCAGCGCTTCAAGAACCACCACGAGGAGACTCATGAAAGACATGGGATTCAGGTGTCGCATTCCGTGTGTCAAGCCACTCTTGAACAAGAAACAGCGCAAGAAGCGTCTCGCCTGGGCCAAGGACAAAAAGGACTGGACTGATGCTGAGTGGTCCAAAGTTATGTTTTCTGATGAAAGCAAGTTCTGCATTTCCTTTGGAAATCAAGGACCCAGAGTCTGGAGGAAGAGCGGAGAAGCACAGAATCCACGTTGCATGAGGTCCAGTGTAAAGTTTCCACCGTCAGTGATGGTGTGGGGTGCCATGTCATCTGCCGGTGTTGGCCCACTCTGTTTCCTGAGGTCCAGGGTCAATGCAGCCGTCTACCAGGAAGTTTTAGAGCACTTCATGCTTCCTGCTGCTGACCAACTTTATGGGGATGCAGACTTCACCTTTCAACAGGACTTGGCACCTGCACACAGTGCCAAAACCACCAGCACCTGGTTCAAGGACCATGGTATCCCTGTCCTTGATTGGCCAGCAAACTCGCCTGACCTTAACCCCATAGAAAATCTATGGGGTATTGTGAAGCGGAGGATGCAATACGCTAGACCCAACAATGCAGAGGAGCTGAAGACGACTATCAGAGCAACCTGGGCTCTCATAACACCTGAGCAGTGCCACAGACTGATCGAGTCCATGCCACGCCGCATTACTGCAGTTATTGAGGCAAAAGGAGCCCCGACTAAGTATTGAGTGCTATACATGCACATTCTTTTCATGTTCATTCTTTTCAGTTGGCCAACATTAGAGAAACAAACATTTTTTCATTGGCCTTTAGAATATTCTAATTTTCTGAGATACCAGATTTGATGTTTTCATTGGTTGTCACCTATAAATATCAAAATTAAACGTAATAAACATCGGAAATACATTGGTCTGTGTGCATTGCATGAATATAATGTACAAGTTTCACGTTTTGAATGGAATTACTGAAATATTTTCAACCTTTTGATGATATTCTAATTTACTGGCCAGCACCTGTATATTGGTTTTTTTTTCATCAAGTTGACGCAGTGATAGGTAGATCTTGTTGTATTGTTGTTGTGTCCCTTTTTTTGTGTCCTTTTGTTTTTTTTTTGTCTTTTTCTGCAGGTCTAGAAGCAGACTCTTGTTCGTTGTTTATTTTTGTGGAACCCCCCCCCCCCCCTCTCTCTCCACCTTTTCTCTTCCTTTCTCTTTCACCTCTGTCTCCGTGTCTGGTCGGAATTACAAAGCATTCAACAACAATAACAATAAAGTTTTAAGTATCAGGCGTGACATTAAAAGCAGACGCTTTGATGCTCCACCTGAGAATAAATCTGTAAGGCTTGTCACCAGCATCCAGACATCAGTTCTGTTTGCTTCACAGCCAGACAGGACACGGTAAAAAAAAAAAAAAACATAGTCTGAAATGGACCACCCATATCATTCAGAAGCTCCACCCCCTTTAAATTAACCACTGGGACAATTTCCCATTTAAAAACATAAATCCACTCTGCGTTTCCAGGATTGGATTCCGGTGATTCCCACCTTGCCTGTGTTGGTTCAGATATTCCAGTTTTGCTGGAATTAGATGATTAAAATCACCTGATGGGTGCAGGTGAGTGGGCGGGGCTTTCAGCTCCACACCCCCCGACTCTGGTCATGTATTTCTCACCTTCTCCTCTTTAAGGCTCCCTCTCTGAGGATACGTCGCCCTCCTCCCCGCTGCTGGCATTGTCCTGTTTGGATCGGAGCGAACACTTCTCCCGACCCGACTCCGACGGCCCTTTGGAGCGTGTCTTCTCCTTCCTCTGCTGCAGTTTCTCCTGCTTGGACAGCTGAGGAAGCACCAGAACATTTAGTTTGTCTCCTTCACGTCTCCAACAGCCTCGGGACATCTTATGGAACACAAACAGCAGACAGAGACAACATCCGAAACGGGATGGGATCCTGTTTCCTGGCTGCGCTCCAAGTCATGAAGAGGATTATTCAGCAAAACAACAAACATTTCATGTTCTGGAGGAGCACGAACTAAAGGAGAAAACTCATTAGATTTAACGAATCCAGACATGCGTGCCTCAGATGAGGACGGGTGGCCTCTCACATTTACAGCCGGATGAGATTCCTGCTGAATAAATGAAGGAAACAAATCAGGAATTACAAAAACCTTTTATCTAACGGAGCACACGGCTTCAAACTGGTGTTTACTCCTTAGGTAAAACAGGAGGACTGATGTGCTCCAGGTGTTCTCCAGATGTTCCTGAAGAATTTCTCTGACTGGTCCAACCAGAACATCACATCCGGGAATGTCTTGATTTTCCACTCAGAAAACATCTGACGAGCACATCTGAAGAAAACGCTCAGAGAGTAAAAGAGTTTATCTACGACGAGAACAAGCACACATCCGTTATCTGGTAAAGCAGCACATCAGCCAATCACATGCTGTTGGAGATGAGCTACATGTAGCCACAGCTGCTCCGGGGGACTAACAGGCCCCGCCACCCACCACCAGGCAAGGCAGTGTCTGAGACAGGCTGAGCAGGACTCAAACCAGCAACCTGTGGGTTACAGGGCCGGACTCAACTCCTCCGTCCCCGTGGGAGATAAACTCGTTTTCTAGACGCATCCAGATGCGAACGCGAACGATTTTAAATAGATTTCATTAAAGTTAACCTTGACCTAACGAGGCGTTAATAACGGAACTCGACGTTAAGGAAGTCCGGTGCTCGGACGGGAGGTTTACAGTGTGCACCGGACAACATGGCCGACAGGAACTCTGGTTTGAACGGGTTTTTTTTAAAAGAGCCGTTATTCGTGCTCAGAGTGAATTGGACCACGAGCATGGTTTTGTTTGAAAGCTGTTATTCCATTACAGCATTTTATCCTTAAAGAGCAAGTCACCCCCAAAACAACTTATTTTTTCCTGATAAACTATATAAATGCATGTCTAATCGCGCTGCAGACACGTGTCGTCAATAGTTTTGCACTTTAGAGCATTTTAGTTACAATTTTTATTTTCTGCCTAAAACTGTCAGTGTTGTGCCGTTGTCAGGTAAAAACTCTGCACTGCATTTAAATTTAAATCTGCCATCGCTATTGGCTAAGAGGTATGCTAGAACGTTAGCTGGTACCATATGATGTCACAATGTCGTTGTGAGCCTGTGTGTGTGTGCCGATTGGACTACTGCAACTCCCTGTATTCTGGCCTGGACCAGTCCTCCCCACACCGACTTCAGCTGGTCCAAAATGCAGCGGCCCGCTTGCTGACTGGAACCAGCAAGTGGGATCACATAGCCCCGGTTCTGACCTCTCTCCATTGGCTTCCTGTCTCTTACAGGATCCGTTTCAAAATGTTACTTTTTGTTTTAAATCCCTTCATGGCCTGGCCCCAGTTTACATCTCTGAGCTGCTGTCCGCTTACGCCCCTGCCAGAACCATGAGGTCCAGCTCTCAAGCTCTTTTAACAGTTCCAAAAACCCGCCACAAGACTCGCGGCGACAGAGCGTTCTCTGTGGTTGGGCCCAAACTGTGGAACAAGCTAGCTCTCAACATCAGGACCACACAGAATCTAGAGCATCTTAAATCCCTTCTTAAGATGCACGTTTTTGATTTGGCTTTTAATGCAGGCTGACTTGAGCATCTTAATAGTTTTTAACAGTTTTTATTACAGATTGTGACTGTTGTGAGCTCATCTTATTTTAGGTTTTTATTGTTGATTTGTTGTACCTTGTACAGCGCTTTGGTGTAGCTTTGCTGCTGTAAATGCGCTCTATAAGTAAAATTGACCTTGACCTTGCATTTGTTAGCAGCTCCGCCCTCTCAGTCTGCCAGGCAACAGCCTTTGTTGCATTTTTCAAACAGGAAGTGGGAGTGGAGTAATACTCTGGTAGGTGGTGACTTGCTCTTTAAATTATTGCTATTTGTTTTAAATAATAAAGATAACGGAAGTAAATTTATATTGCATCATTACAAAAGTACTACATAATCACACATAACCCTACTGAATATACAGAAACAACCGAGGAAGTCTAGATGGAACAATCCGTCTGAGCTCCAACCTGAAAATCCGTGAAAATGAAACAGGAAGTATCGGCTTTCAATGATTCCACAGGAAAAAATTAAAGTTACATTTTGAACCGCAGCAGGACCTTCAGCAGCCCGAGGCTCCTGCCGGCTCCGAGCCAACCGGACGGGCAGATTGTGACCTTTGCGGTTTGCCGCGTGTTCCCTAAAATGTCCCCAGCATGCATCAGGATTTCGTCTCATTAATTCAGAAGGAAAACGATTCAGAGAGCCCGACTCGTCTCTGAAACACGATTCTGGTCTCCTCGTGTTAAACAACACACACACACGCACACACACACACACACACGCGTGCGCACACGCAAGCACACACATGCACACACACGCACACACACGCACGCACGCACACACACACGCACACACACACACACACACACGCACGCACGCACGCACACACACACACACACACACACACACACACACACACACACACACACACACACACACACACACACACACACACACACACACACACACACACACACACACACACACACACGCACACACACACACACACACCTTTCCTGCGTGTGTAAACACGTTAAAACTTTTATGGCTCCAGAGTTTCATTCCTGACCTTAATGTCGTCTCCCAGATGCAGGAAGTTACGTAACACTTTACATTATTTAAACGACACGTAAGAGCCTGTTGTCCTCAGTGGTGCCACAGCAGCACGCCGCCGCCGCCGCCGCCGGTGATGACATAATGCCTGACGACTGAAACGGAGCAAATCTAATTCTCAACATATGACATTCAGACAGACGGATGGACATTTTTAATACTTTTCCATGAAACAAATCTGACGTTAAAGTTGTGGATTAAAGTTTCCTTCGACATGATCAAACATTACATAAGTGCTGTAAAACGAGAGAAACTGCTCTGGGAGCAGCATCCTGCAGCATCACAACATCCCAACAGGAGGATTTGCGTAAGTCCATCGTTTGTCTCCGTTTGACCCGGAGCTGGACCGAATCCCTGATTCACCAGAAGAAAGGCCCAGTGTCTGCTGCTTCACCCCCCAGCGCCAAGCCTAGCCTCTTGGCTGGCCTCCTCATCCCTCCTGCTCAGCCACTGCGCCCGCCTCACGGCCCACACACCTGATTTGCATTCTGGGGACGGAGGTCCCTCCTTCCAGGCGAGTGAGCCAAGCGGGGTCCAACATCCGTAGGACTGCAGAAGAGAGCTGATGCAGTCCGAGAAGACAAATTCTGAATTTTTGTCATTTGACAGGAAGGAGACCCTCGCCCGTCGCTGTCTCTTTAAATCCTGCTGAAAGTCCGTTTAGAGCAGCTAACAAATGTCCCTGAAGCATCCTCGACCTTCAGTACGTGCAGCAGGGCGAGTGTACTGCTAACCGCCCTAAAGCATAAAAACAACTAGCTGCAACCAGATGACTAGTTAACTAGTTAACCAGAACTACTGGTTTCTGCTGTCCTGTTAGAAAATATACATTAGAGCATCATCCAGGATTTCCTTCAGTCCAAAAGCAAAAAAGTTGCTTAATTTTTGACATTTATGTAAAATAAAGTAAACAAAGATAAACTACAACAGCTGATCTGATTATTGGGAAAATTCTGACTATTCCAGGTTCCTCTCAGTCAAAAACCAACCATTCCTGGGTTCAGCTCTCTGCCGGAGGAGCTGGTGAAAGTGGTCGAGGAGGGGGCTGTCTGGGACGCCCTACTTGAGATGCTACCCCCGCGACCCGGACCCAGATAAGCGGCGGAGAACGAACGGAAAACCAATCAGTGCTAATCTGATTTTTACTGTTGTTGCAAAGATGAGGAAATAAAAGCAGCAGACCTGATTAACCCTTTGTGCTGCTGCAGCTGTGCAACGAGCCCGTCAGATCTGCTGCTTCGGCCAGAATCAGGAGGATGATCAGAGTTCATTTAGAGGAAGTTTCAGAGCCTGAGGGAGAAAAGAGTCCCGCAGAGGAGATCCCTAAAGCCGGAGCTGTCAATCATCACGTGTGTGCTACATCAGGGACGAGACACTAACGCAGCAGCAGGTTCTGCGTGCTGATCAGCAGGAGGAACATCAGCAGAGCGTCAGTAGAGCTCCACCTGGTGGCTCATTGTGGGAAGTGATGCTCGGACGACCCGGGCTGTAAAACGCTGCCGTGGTGTTTGTTACCGACTCCGACGCTGCTTCTGCTTCCTGACCCGGTTTCTCCCCATCCTAAAGAGCAAACGGCTGCAGAGCAGATGTGTTCTGTGTCGTGCTTGGGCCGGCACCGTACCTGTCTGGGGTCCGCCGGACCCGTCGGTGACGTCAGCTCGATGGTTACAGGTCCGTCATTCTGAATGTGGAGCTGCATGTAGGCGCCAAACACCCCGTCTACATGAAACAAGACAGAAGCACATTAATGGATCTTTCACAACTATCTGAATGTTAGATGATCATCAGGATTCTCTGTCCTCCAGCCAAACCCGGATCTGGGGCCGGGCCTTCAGATCGATGACTCCATCTGCAGGCCGAAGCCGTGGCCCGCTCTGGAAAAGTGTCACATCATCACGTTTCCTCTCTAGAGGTGGTCAGGTGGGGGAGGGGGGGGCTAGGGCTAATCAGGAATGCTTCCTGAGCTGGGACGAGGTGTTCTCCACACCTGCTCCCCTGCGGGCCCGACCCAATTCGCTGCCACCGTCAGCGCCGGAGCAGATCCGCCTTCTTGCCTGCAACACTGAGACGGGAAAACGGGCAACTAGGCAGCAGGACGCCGCACTGCTGATACTCTGGCTCCATGTTGGAGAAAAGCAACACGTCGGTGTTAAAATCACCCATAAAATCAGAACATTTAAGTACTTTAACCTTTTTATGTCAGCCTAAACTCATCACTAATGAGCCTTTTCAGGAATAATGAGCTGTAATTTTTAAGGTATGGGTCACGTGGGGCCAAAAAAGGGCAGTTTTCCCCTCCATGTTCTTGCTTAAACGTGTGGTTTGCTCTTTTTCCCCATGCAGTGGTCTCTAGAAGGAATGAATGCCTTGTAAGTCGTTTTCTGGGAAAACAAAGCTCCGGTGCGCCCGTTTCAGGAACTAAAAGTGAGCCACATCGGAGTTGAGCTGCAGACCATTTCCTGATATTTGGACGTCTTTACCTGCACAAATTAGGAAAGTCTGCAGTGTGCGACAGTGATTGATATTGCGATGACGATGTGACTTGCAGTAAATTAACAAATGCTTAAATCTGCAGTGCTTGTTTTTCATCTCTGTATTTACTTTAGACTAACCACTCCATCCTCTATCATTAGTATTAACAGAGTAACAGAATCGCAGCCCTACTAACTGTAAGTGCTCTGGAATGATTAAATGATTTACAAACAACACAAGCCTGAAGGAGTTCTGCTGTGTGGTGGAGTTGCTAATGCTAAAGGTTAGTGTCTAGTAGCTGAGACGTGCTCTACTCTCTCCTGGACGCTAAAGCAACATCCTTCCCCGTCGTGAGTCAAGATGGGTGAGTCCATGAATGTTAGTGACAGTGTGACGTAGATCTGTCAGGCTTTTCTAATCCTAGAGTTTCACCGTCTGTTTTCTATCAGAAGGTAAGGCAGGAGATAGGTGTAGGAGACTATTTTCATGTTCAAACTGTGTGTTAAACTTACAATGAGAAAAATAATTTTACAATGATTTTTCAGTGTTCCACACCTTTAAAGGGACTAAAAGGAAGTGTGACAGCCAAAACACGTATAGAAATAATAAATGTCTTCTTCATACGTTCTCCTGCAATGCCCTGGTCCTGTAGAATGAGCCCTGGCATTTTTACTGGGATTGCCTGTTTTTCTGTAAAATCACAGAAAAAGAGAGATGCTCGGGTCGAGCAGGCTGCTTCATGCGCGTTCACGCTCAGGCATCGCCCGTAGCATTTGCTATCCGTAGCTTTAGCAGCAGAGAGAGAGGCAGTGCCACTTTGTCGCTGTTCCTGACGCCTAGTGACAAAGCTAGCTACATTTCTGAGGACCCTTAGCTACTTTCTGTAGAACTTTCTTCTAGATATTTCCTGCTAATTAGCAACAAAACAGCCATTTTCACTCCGAACCGTTCTTTGGTTTGACGTTGTTTCAGCTGTCATCAAGGATATAAATGTTACAGATACACATGATGCCACTGGTGCTTTAGCTCACCTAGTAAGGTGTCTGACTCTCATGCAGAAGACCTGGGTTTGATTCTGGATGTGAACATAGTTTATTTAGAGTTTCTTTTTTACATTAATGGTATATTTTTTACAGTAAGATGCCCAAATTTTTATTTGAGACTCGCCGAACGGCATTGAATTCACAGATAAAAAAGATGTGGGTTCAACTTTCATTTTGGAACAATTTTTCAAGCAAGGGAAGGGAATGATCTGAGCATGCAGGAGGACTGACCCATCATAAACCTTTGTCGGCTGTGCTGAAGAGAAAGGTACAGAACCACATTATTTAAATAATTAGCTGCATGTTCTCCTGTCCTCCGCCCCCCCCCCCCCCCCCACACACACACAAACAAACAAGGGACTGTCTCAGCTGTTATTTTCGTTAAGGAGTGTGCACGTACAGCATGCGCGCCTCGTGCACGAGCCTACTATTGAAGCTGCTGTTACGCTTTTGGCCTGAGGGGGCGATCACGAGCATAAAAATTCAAAACTCTGTAAAGTCCCTTTAACTGTTTAATTTTTCAAAAATCATTTTTCTTTATCTCTAGAAAAAAAAAGATTGAAACAGTTAGTTTGTGGTGAAAAACAGGCTGTAGAAAAGCTGGACATCCAGTGGACAATGCTGTAATGTGATTTATGTGTTTGCAGAAGATTACAGTTGATAAACTCTGACCCATTAAGTAAAAGCAGCAAGTCGGAATCAGACGGGATCCAGAATCCAGCAGGGATCTGATGAGTTCAGCAGGAAGTCGGACGCTGGAACAAAACACGGTTCAGCATCTCACAACTGACTAAACAGTTCTCTCATGGGTGTCCTCACTGGTCCTGGGACCTTGCTCAGGTACAGTTGGAATGTAGAATCTAAAGATTTCTCAAGACAAAGTTTGTAACTCTGATCCCCAGAAGAAATAAAACCCACCTTTGATCATCTCCGGCTTGTAGGAGGTCCTCATGTTCTCCAGGATGCTGCAGTAGAATGGTTGTGCCAACTCGGCAGGCATGGCCGCGTGGAAGTCGGGCTTGTTGCCCTTCAGGATGTACTGCAGCGTGAACTGGCTCACACACAGAACCTCAAACCCTCGTTCCATCACGCTTTTGCTCCACGCCCGACCGTTCTCGTCATCAAACAGACGCAGGTTCAAGATCTTTCTCACCCTAAAAGGACGAAGCTTTTGTTTACCAAGATCTCTGGATTTGAAATTGATGTGATGCAACTGATGTGCTGAGAATCCAAATGTAAAGAGCCGAAACAGTACAGCAATAATACAGTAACAGTACAGCAATAATACAGTAACAGTACAGCAATAATACAGTAACAGTACAGCAATAATACAGTAAATGTACAGTAATGATACAGTAAATGTACAGTAATGATACAGTACAGTACTCTGCTTTCAAGCGAGGATCAAACACTCACATGTACTCTGCATCTTTCTGGGTGTCGTCAACTGAAATCCCCAGGAGCACACAAAGTCCCCGTCCGATGGAGCTGACCTGCTCTCCTCCCACTGCAGGAAAACAGGAACACTGGTGAGTCAACCCGTAACAAGGACATTTAGGAATAATTTGGGATTTTAATGCATGACAGCATAGACAGATGGAGATTGTTTTTATATTGTGATAGCATGAATCCTGATCTTGTGCTTTTAAATATATAAAAAAAGTTAGTATTTTTTTCTGCTGGCCTTAGTTGTACTTCCGCAGTTTTTATTTGCTTATCACTTCTTCACCTCTATGGCTCTTTGTCCTAGTCGTGAAAAATCAATAGTTCCACTCTATATGTTGTCCTGAACCGTTTATGTTTGTCTGATCAAACCTTCGTGTATATTTCGGTCATAAATTTGATTTAAATCTCTGCAGTTTACTGTTTATTTTGCTAAAGTAAAAACTTTTGACACTTTTTGCTAAAAGACAAACAAACCTGAGTCCGTTCAGGAATTCTAGCTTCCAGGAACAAAACTAAATAAATAAAAATGGTTATTTTGGACAAACTGTGACCGGTTTTATTCATACGGTGTAAATGTAACCTTTGAACCGGTTTCTCCAGCTAGCATAAACAGCTAGCAGCTCTCCGAGTGGCCTCATTCATTTCTATGACGATGCTAATGCAAACGCGCTAGCTCCGCAGAGTAAAGCTAAAACTCACGCTAGCGGATTCCTAGAGTTCGTCTCGGTTTGATCCGTCATGGTTTAACTCACCTGTCACACTCGCTGCAGTCACCCTCTGTACGACAGCTCTCATTGTTGTTTATGTTCAGATCACGCTGTCTGTTCACAACTTCCGGTATAGCTTGAGGCGTTTGAGACACAGCGCCACCCCGCGGACAAAAGTGGTATTTCATTTCCACAATTTATTCAGCTTTCGTTTGAAAGGTAGCATTTATTTAGAGATATGAGAAGAACATATAAACTTTTATTAAACATATGAAGTAAAACATTAGGCAGAGAAGCTTTTTAGATGGACATAAGACTGTTACAATGATATTACAATTGCTTTTGATGCATAAAGAAGTCAATAGTCAGAAACAGATTTCATCAAGAGATTTTGTAGAAGTTTATTGAATAACATGAATGTTTCTGGTTCTTAAGTCTCTGAAATATTTGTCCGAACATTTCAGCGGCTTGGAGACTTGTTCAGCTGTTGAACATATCTTAAGGTGCAGCAATGACGTCCTGATGAAAACAGAATCACTCAACAGAACCCCTTAAAGCTATTTGTCTCCTTGTCCAGGTCCAGATGCGGCTCCAGGTCTGGATTCTGTTCCTTCACTGAAGGACTTGATGAAATTGTAAATCCTCGTGGAGTATGGAACAAAGTCTTTCTTGTAGATAACGACAGATCTGAGGTGTTTGCCCTGGTAGATGTGCTTGTTTGGATCGTCTGGCTCTTCTTCTACCGGAGCTGATTTGAAGGAATAAATAACAGTTAGTTCTTCTGATCTCATAATCAAAACATTTTTAGGAAAATCTAGGATGAAGACGAGTTTAAAACCCTTTGGTAAACAGTTTTTATTTCAGTCATTCCTTTATGCAGTCATCTAAAAGCTGCAGCACCTGTTGAATGTTATATCCTGAAACATCCCTTTCTTTAACAGTTTATAAACTTGTTACGTGTTTCAACATTTTATCTATCTATCTATCTATCTATCTATCTATCTATCTATCTATCTATCTACATGAAAAATAAGTATGAAATGAGCCGAAATATCTTTTAACAAGTCAATTTTAATTTTGTACTATTATTTGTGCAAAAGTTAAAAGTGACTTATAATAAAACTGAAGAAACCTAAAACCTCAGGAATTCTCAGGCAGGTTCTGAACAGATCCGATTCCTGGCTCTTTGGGAAATTCAAGGTTTTCTCTTTATTCATAGGAAACAGATTTATACAGCTGAGGCAGAAATTCGTCTCCGGTTATTTTAATGAAATTAAAATAATGTATTATTTTTCCTAACCTAGCACGATAGAGAGCGGAGTTGCCTGCTGTCCTTCACCCACCTGAAACGTCATCTTTGGGGGAAGTATATTTTATATAAGCGTAGGAGCCGACCATGGTCCAGATGCCCAGCGCGTAGACGGCAGACATCCTGGTGTTCCACTTCATCACGTCCTTAAACATGATGCCGCCTTTGTTAACCCGCTGCTGCCAAATCAACACAAAACCAGCTGCAGTTCTTTTAGCGATCGCCCTCAGAGCGCAGCCATGATGCTAACCCGGATGTAGTAATCCAGAATCAACTTCCGGAGCATTCCTATAGAAGTAAAAGTTCGTTTTGTTTAACATCTCACTTTTAAACATTTTATTACACACGAACAAGAAAAAAATCCAAACTTTTAACACGGAGGATCATTCTTGTTATTTAGTTAAAAAAGACAAAGTACTAAATTTCTCATGATTATTACATTTAACAAATAATAATAATAATAATAATAATAATAATAATAATAATAATAATAATAATAATAATAATAATAATTATTATTATTATTATTATCATTGCTATTGTTAATAATAATAACAACAATTTATTTTTAAGCACAGTGTGAATTGCGCGCATACATGTTTGAAGGGGTGTGTGTGAGTGGGTGTGATTGTCTGTGTGTGTACGTGTGCGTGTGTGTGTGGGCGGGTACAAGTGTACGAGTTTCATTTACCTGGAGCTTTTTTGTCTTATTTATTATAGTTTTTAACATCATTTTAGTAATTGTTTTTAAATTTAGCAGAGTTGTGTGTGTATGGAGCATGTGACTCAGATGGATCTCAATGGAGAAACGCTTTTTCGTTGTGTTTGTACTCTGTTATGAACATAATGACAATAAACCTGATTTGATTGGTTTGATTGATTGATTAATTTTTAAAACAATAATACTAATAATTTTTTGGAAATCATTATGAAGATCATCATCATTATTATCATCATTATTATTACAAATAACTTGCTCATTTAAGCACAATGATTCTAACAGAAAATGTCATTATTTTGTGAAAAGGAGATGCTGAAATATTCTGCATGCTGCATCTGTTTCAGATGAGTCATTACTCTGATTTATTCTCAATCTGCACAAACACGTGGGCTGAAGGTCAAAGCTGTCAGCTGATTTTTGAACTTTATTTTACTGAGCCGTCTTCAGACCACAGGCATGCAGGTCCCCTCCTGGGGAACTACTCCACCAGAGAGGATGTAGTCCAAAAGCGTGATTGTGTTTTTTGTGTAGATAATAACATGTTTCTGTCACTGTTGTGTGACCCAGCAGCTCAGTCACCCGTTTAAAATGATTTAAAACATAAATAGAAAGCAGACAGATCTGGAAAAAACAACCCAGAAGGCTGATCTGAGATCTGTGGGAGGATTTATGGCTCTGCTCGTGAGTCACACCTGAGGATGATTCATCCAGCAGGTGTTTTTACCTACTAGTTTATGTTGAAATCATCAGCAACTTTACAGGTTATTAGTTCAAATTTATTTTGCTTTCATATTAACTTAAACCTTTAATTTCTTGTGTTTATCTGTGTGGAAAGAGGGTTAAACCTGTCAGGACGTTCCTGACAGCTACCGGGTTTTTATTTAAACGTGATTCCCTGAAATAAATAAATAAAAATCAAACTAAAGGTGGAAAATTTTTATCAATTTTTTAGAATCAGGTCAGAAATCAAGTCCAGAGGATGAAAAGAAAGCAGAGGCTCCCGGCAGAATCCGGTCTGATTTCTGCTAACGCAGCTGCGTCCTGTCACTTAAAAATGCGTTTCATTAAAAGTGGATTCAGACTTGTTTGAGCAGCAGATGTAGAGAAAAAGGTGTCGGTTATAAACATTAGAATAACTTTACATTCTTGGAGACTTTTCTTTGGATTTTTACACTAGAGTTAGGGCTTGAATTACGGGGGAGCCCGGCTCAACCGAAAGGGCGACGAGTCCCCCGGAGGCTCACACACCCAGGAGGAAAAGAAAATCTTTCCCCGGAGTTTCATTTCTATTTGCCAACAAAATCAATCAACAAATCAATTTCCCTCTGGGATTAATAAAGTATTTTTGAATTGAATTGAATTGAATTGAAAAGCAAACAAACAACTCTAATAGGAATGCATGAAAAAATAAATAAACGGTCAATGTCCAATTTCATCAGAAATGTTAAAGGGATATAAAGCAGTTTTGGCTTGCTTTGAGCACCCCCTAGTGTCCAGTAGTTAAACCAAAAGTGAAACTCATCTTCTCGCTGTTCCAGTGGAACGGTTCATCTCTAAATCACACAAACAGCTGTGTTCATGATCTAAAACATGCAGGAAACCTGCTGGAACCAGACTGCAGAGCCAGGCGGTCAGCTCCACTTTACTAAGTCCAACAGGGACCAGGCCGGCACTCTGAAGTTGCAAGTGTGGTATTCTTACCACAGAGGGCGGTGGGGGCCGGAGTGACATTTCATTAACTCTAAAGGCTCATTTTGGCACATACTGTCAAAAGAAAATAATTTAAAAATATGAAAAAGTGTCATTGCTGATTTTAAAGCATATTGAACTGCCTCAGTGTTTGAAATGTGCTCTAAATAAAGCTGCCATAGTACGGCTTTTCTTTCTTCAAACCTTTATTGAACAAGGTGATGAGTATGCAAACAAACTGCAAACAAAAGTGAACAAAGAACATGAAACTTATGCCAGGGGGTGCACTACAGAAATGTTACACACATCCAAATAAATTGCAGGTGGTGCAAATAGTTATAGTTTTTAAAGCGTCTTTATTTAGTGATCCACTAATCAATTTTATGTAAGATAGAGTGTCACTATAATAGTGTTTGAAACTAGGTTTTGGTTACTATACTTGCATTTGTGGAGATAGAATAGCTAGGATATAACAAATTTATGACAAAGTCTACTTCTTCCTTTCTGTGCTTGCGACAAAAACAAAATACAACATTTTCCCATTTTAAAATGAAGTCCTTGCAGAGCTGTCCGATAATAAGTCTTTCCAAAACGTTGTAGCATGTGAACAGATCCAGAAGAGGTGCTGAACCGTCTCAGGGTGGCTTCCACAAAAACAGCTGTTCACATCAATGTCCCTCTTAAACTTTGTCATGTGGTGATTCGCTGGATAACACTTATGAAGTATTTTGAATGAAACTTCTTTGACCTTATTTGTCACAAAATACATATTAGGAATGGTCCGTACTCTTTTCCAACTGATGTCAGTGACAAAGGAATTCCAATAAAAAATCACATATGGAAGGATTCTCTCTGAAATAAAGCACGAATATTCCTATTACTGTTTTTAAGCTATTATGTATTTGTTGACAGGGTCGGGGGGGGGGGGGGGGGATAGGTGGTACGACAGGTAGAACACCTTTAAAAAAGCATTCTGACACCCATAGTGCTGCAGCAAACAATAAAGCATTTGTTTGGGAGTTGCTGGAAATTTGTGTGTGTAGTATGGCTTTAATATTCATACGTTGATGCTTTAATAACAATAATAAACAAGACCCTCGCCCCCTAGTGGCCGTGTCAAATACTATAAAGACAGAAGATGAGCTGCTGCAGATATTTACTCCCACAACAAATCGCTTTGCTAGTCTCATTAAAGGTCAGAGGACAAACATGATCAGATATGGAACACAGGACAGATTTGGCCTTTCAGGGCTTCCGTATAACAATAGGAGATGGCAGCAGCCCTGTCCTGTTGTGTCGCACAGAAGAGTTTTTATCTTTATTTAAAACCAGAGAACATGAAAATGTCTTTTTGTGCTTCGAGTGTTTTGGCCGATGGACTTGTGAGACGAAACCTGGGTGTGAGCGCGTTCATCTGCTGCACTGGGAATAAAAAAACCCAGAAGTGTTTGCGCCTCTGGAGCGTGTACACATGTAAACATCGTTCATCTAATAAACACTGATAGGGTTAAGCAGCTGTATCAATGCAACCTAGAACCTCCAACAAGCTTTTACCTGCAGAAACCAACTCTAATCTCAGATCCAGAGCAAACAGACTAAAGAAACGTTGTTTTTCTTCTGATCTTCTCAACCTTGATTTCATGTATTTTTTGCAGCCTGCGGCTGGTTCTCCTGTCACGGCTGCTGCTGGCACCCCCCGCACCAGAGCTTTGTTGAAACTTGTCCACTGAAGCTATGAGTCAGACAAAGCAAATACATAAACTCTCCACGTGCATGCAGCAGCACTCAGGTACGGCACGGCGTCCACCGGGAGCACCTGGACAGCACGTCTCCACCGCCTGCTGGGAGCTGACCAGGATTCTGCAGAGATGATCTAAAAGGTAAAACTTTTATCAGAAGCTGCTGTTTCTGGGTGAAATCCGACGATTTGGTGAACCACAGAAATTAATTCAGTGTTTGGATCAATCAGCAGGAAAAAACATTAATCATAATAACGAAAAAGGGAGAGTTGTAGGACATTAATTAATTAGTTAGTTAATTAATTAATTCATTCATTCATTCATTCACTACACTGAGGGGGTGGGGGGTAGTAAATGAGTTTTTAATGCGCTGCAAGTTTCCTTCATTCATAAATAGAAGGCTGATCATAACAAAACTAACTCCAGCGCCACCGTGAGGTGACCATTGACCTCTGACAGCAGCATCATGGAGATAGAAGGTCAAAGTTCACACTCAGAGGAGACCATCTGTAAATGTAATTAATCAGCATCATAAAATGACCTACATGTTCATGTATTCATTTTTATGGTATTTTAAAGTGAAGAGCTTTATTATTTATTACATGTTATTGTGAAATAATCCCTGAGTTAAACTCACTGATAACTATGATTGTATCATATATATATATTATATATATACACACACACACATATATATATATATATATAATTTGAAGTATTTGCATATTTTTTCCCGAACACTCACATCTCTGTTCCTCCTTATTGGCACTCGAGGATAAAGTATTTTTTCTACATTTTAAAGCGACAGTGTGTATTTTTCCTGACGATAGGGGGCAGTAGATACCTAAATCGTTTCAAGCAAGCAGTATTTTTGCGTTGGAGTAAGACTTTACCAATGGATGACCATTAGGGTCAAAAAACCCTGGGGAGTGCAAACTTCAGCAAAATAACAAGCACATCAGATTCCCTTTCATCACTGACAGCAAGTGAAGAGGTAAACATATAAAACATTTAAGAACGACAAATATGTTGTAACCATTTGTTAACAATCAGCAAATGCATTTTGTCCTCTTGGGCTTCCGTAGAAGGAAACATGGCATCTAATATGGCGTCGCCAGACTTAGATCCACTCCCATGTTTTTCACACCTGATTTTTATGGTTACATGTTACAACGCTGTCAATATTTTTCAACAACTGGGCATCATTTCATTCATTTTCAACAACATTTTGATGGAAATTTCCAGAAATGAAGGGTAAAAACTACACATTGTCTCTTTAAGATTGTTTTTACTTAAACGTTCCCAACAGGATGACCAAATTAGCAAACAGGATTCAGCTCTTCTGCTCATCGTTGTTGCAACAATCAAATGTAATTCAAAAATGGCTTTTATCCCACCGTTTTACAGTAATACTTTACTTGGTGCCTTATTAAGCCTTAATAAACTATTAAATAATATTAACAACTGCTTAACCACATTATGTAATTGTTACGTCCCCGACAGGAGGTGTTAGAATGCGAAGGAGGGGTAACATAAGAAATACGACAGTGGAGTTAAAATGGTTTTAATTGTTGTAAAATAAAAGCTTTGTGTTCATCTTGTTCTAACAGCTGCTGGATGGACAAGCAGAGACCAGTAGACACGCGCGGTTCTGATGGAGGAGCGGCGGGAAGCAGCTCAGGTGAGGTGGACTCCACCTGGACGGTACGGAAGCCCAGAGGGGCAAAAATAAACAACTGGGTCATTTTCTCACCTCGCCATGAAATATTAGAAGTTTATTAGCAAAAATGGCCAAACGTTGTCATGATCCTAAACCCATGAAGCAAGTGATTCACAGATGCGTTTTTGAACATGAATAAAAATGGAAATTTCTGTTTTTGCAACGAAACTTTTCATTTTCTCTCCTGAATTCACATGAAGAGGGTTTTCTAAGAGTTCAGTTTGTTAAATTGTTTATTTAGAACAGATTTAGATGAGTTTGGTTACCACAGCGATGTTATTCTGCAGGCTGCATTCAAAACCTTTAAAGAGCAAGTCACCCCCTAATCAACTATTTTTTTCTGATAAACTATATAAATGCGTGTCTAATCGTGCTGCAGACACGTGTAGTCAGTAGTTTTGCACTTTAGTGCATTTAAATTAAATTTTAAATATTCTGCCTAAAACTGGCAGT